GGAAGAAAGCAGTTTGAGTCAACAGCACTTCAGGAACCCTTCCGGAACGGGTCAGAAGCTTGTTTGTCTGGACAGGTAAATATATTCCGTTAGGAGCCAATTACTAAAACAGGTCTGTCTGAAATGACAGAAAACCCCTGTTAGTAACCAGTTCTTGAAATGGAATATATAGGCTGTCTGAAAAGGGCCAAATTACTTACGATGCAGCAATATTTTGTATAATAGCATGCACAATAAGAAAGCAGAAGACTGACCCCTCTACTGTGAAATGTATGAAAGACTCTTGAGATGTTGGAATATAGCGGCACATACTAGTCTTTTTGTAGGTCCAGGTATTGTATGTGGTGGTGTGTTTTTTTTAATTAATACTTTCCAAGCAGATCGTGTATCAAAATAAACTGACCTGCTGCTGGCTTCAGTACTACTGAATGGGGAGAGCAAGCTGCCTTTGTTGGTTCTTGCCCATATTTCGTTAGGAAAAACAAAAGGTCAGCAAGGAATTCTTACGAATCTTGAATCCCTGGAAGCTTTTCTGCTTAGCAATTTGAAAAGGAAAATGAGGGAGATGAATTCATACTGTGTGTGAGAGAGAGAAATTTATGTATTCAAATACATTTTCAAAGCTCGGACCCCTATAATAAGGCAAAAACACTTTGAACTGATCTGTCTTTTGCCTTAAGAACATAACATAAGAGAAGCCAATGTTGGATCAGGCCAATGGCCCATCTAGTCCAACACTCTGTCACACAGTGGCCAAAAGTACCAGGTGCCACCAGGAGGTCCAGCAGTGGGGCCAGGACACTAGAAGCCCCTCCCCACTGTTGCCCCCCCCCCCAAGCACCAAGAACACAGTGCATCACTTGCCCCAGACTGAGAGTTCCTATTTATACCTTGTGTCTAATTGCCACACATGGACCTCTGCTTCATACCGGTATGCTTATCTAATTCCCGCTTGAGAATAGGAATGCTTTTGGAGAAGAGGTGAATCTCTGTTAATGAGTTCTCCCCCACCCCCCACCCCCATGTTGGTTTTCTTACTGTTTTGCCCCAAGGACATGTTTTCTCCTGAAACTTTTAAGGAGTGGCTGCAGTATACATGATGTGATTAGTAGTGCCCTTGGTAGCAGGTTTTCATAAAATGGGGGGGAAAAACCCAACCCAACTATCTTAAAGTGCCGTTCTAGGCAGAATTACACCTTTCTAATCCCATTGGCTTCAGTGCATTTAGGAGGATGTAACTCTTGCCCTGGTGGGGGAGCTGCCTTCTTCGAGTAGGATGCCACTCCCATGGTTTAGGGTCATGCCCGACAATGCGATAGTCCTTTCTCATTTATCCTACATTACATTTACATGTTGCTCTGTAGGGAGTTGTGGCATTTACATCTTCAGGGTATGTTTATTTCTCTCTCCCTCGCAGGTTATTTTCCTGACCACTCTGTTCTACCTCTTGAGTTCCAGTGATGAATACTACAAGCCGGTGAAGTGGGTGATCAACTTGACTCCCTTGTCGCAGCCGGGCCCTTCCTCCAATATCATGGGGCAGTCGGTGGAGGAGGCTATCAGGTACCCTGTTGCGTTCCTGCTACTTGTGGAAACTTGTTCTGTATGGTGGGGTGGGGGGGGAGGGCTATACAACGTTTGAAGGGTTATCATGATCTAAATTCTCTTTAGTGACAGAGTTCAGACAAAGCACCTGCTACCCGTGACTGCAAGCTGGCACAGTTATCAGCCCCCCCCCCCCTTCCACGGAGCTTGCCTGCTTCCCTTTTGCAATCCCTTTCAAATGGCAAAGGCTTTTCTTAATGCTAGTTATGTGTGCCACCACGACCTGTATGACCCAGACTAGCCTAATTTCCTCAGTTCTCAGAACTGAAGCAGGGGCTGGCCCTGTTCAGTACTTGGACTGGGAGTCTGCCGAAGGAAATCCAGGGTCAGTGTGCAGAATTTGTGGTTGCCAGTTACTCTGCTTCCTCTCTGGGTTACTTTCCACTGTTAAAAGTCTTGTTGCTTCTTTGTTTACTTAATCTTAGTGATTTTACAGTGCGCTGTGGATTTTGTAGGCTGTAAGTTTTCTAGCCCACACTCGTCAAACCTCAGAAGCTAACCAGGTGGGCCCTGGCTAGTACTAGAATGGGAGACCACCAAGGAAGTCCAGGGTTGCTATGCAGAGGCAGGCAATGCCAGACCACCTCTGTTCATCTCTGCCCTGCCCTGGATGGCCCAGGCTAGGCCAATCTCACCAGATCTCGGAAGCTAAGCAAGGTCAGCCCTGGTTAGTACTTGGGTGGGAGACCACCAAGGAAGTCCAGGGTTGCTATGCAGAGGCAGGCAATGCCAGACCACCTCTGTTCATCTCTGCCCTGCCCTGGATGGCCCAGGCTAGGCCAATCTCACCAGATCTCGGAAGCTAAGCAAGGTCAGCCCTGGTTAGTACTTGGGTGGGAGACCACCAAGGAAGTCCAGGGTTGCTGTGCAGAGGCAGGCAATGGCAGACCACCTCTGTTCATCTCTGGGGTAGGGCTGAGTCCCTGAACTCCTATAAGACAATGACTCAGCCCTACGCACCTTCTGGAGCAGATATAAATTACCTGCCTACCATTTTCTTCTCACCTTGACACAGAGAGTACTCCATCTGTCTGTGTTTATACCTCTGAGGATGCCAGTCACAGCTACTGGCGAAATGTCAGGTTCTACAATGCCAAGACCATGGCCACACATCCCGGAAAATCTACAGCAACTAGTAAAAATTTTGTTATTTACTTCATTTATACCCCACCTTTATCCCCACTGAGGGCCCAGCGTGTCTTACCTCATTCTCCTCTCCTCCATTTTATCTTTACAGCAACAGTTTGGTGGAGTGGTTAGGTGCGCGGACTCTAATCTGGGAGAACCGGGGTTCCCCCCCCCTCCTCCACTTGCACCTGCTGGATGACCTTGGGCAAGCCGTACTTCTGACAAGAGCTGTTCTTGAAAAAGAGCCATTTCTGTCAGAGCTCTCTCAGCCTCACCTACCTCACAGGGGGTGTCTGTTGTGGGTAGGGGAAGGGAAAGGAGTTTGTAAGCCGCTCTGAGACTCCTTCGGGTAGTGAAGGGCCATGGGGTATAAATCCAATCTCCTCCTCCTCCGCCTCCTCTTCTGTGGAGGGCGTGACTGGCCCAAGGGCACCCGGCAAGCTTCTGTGGCACGAGTGGGGATTTGAAGGCAGATCTCCCCGATACGGCTCTGACAGCCTTAACCGCTACACCATGCTGACTCTCTCTCTTTTTTATTGTTTATTTATAGTTTTATAAAATTATATACATATTGCCATTGTTTAACATACATATATTCAAGCGAGTCACTTTTGTTTCATATTTTCCATCCATACGTAAAACTTTTTCCATCTTATTTCAAATATTTCATAATCCTTCTCTTGTACTCTTAGGCTTAACCTATCCATTTCCACCAATAACAACAATTTTTTCTATTAGTTCCTCCTTTAAGGGTATCTTTTTTCCTTTCCAATATTTGGCTAATAATATCCTTGCCACTGTAAAGATATATGTTATTACATATTTATTTACCTTATTACAAGTTTCTGGAAGAATATTTAATAAAGCTATCTCTGGTATAAATGGTAAATCAAGTCCGGTAATGCACCATGCTGAGTCTCAGAGTCATGCCAAAACCACCCTCATGGACAGATGAAATGTATATTTTTTTTTGGGGGGGGGGGGGTACACATGCGCACATAAACTGTTCCCATCTACCAAGCCATTAGGTCGTGTAGGAAGGCAGATTCTGTGCACAGAAGTGTTGCCTGATTGAAGCCCGGGTCAGACTTAGAGCTGAGATAAGGATTGGGTGTGTGTGTGTGTCCTAAGCGCACTCTGTCCTTTCCCATTTCCTCCGCTCTGTGGCCCTCTGTCTGGTTTCAGCATTTTGTGTGGACTGTTAGCAGACCAGATTCAAACGGAACCAGATCCATTCCTAAATTTGGGAGCCTGGTGTTGTTTGATCTTGAGTAACAGTGGCCATTCAAAACCCCCAAGCCAAGTGCGGAAGAGGCGAAGGCTGCATGCACATCCACAGCCTTCTCCAGGTGCCTCCCATGCTAGTTTCTGTGGTCCGTCAGTCTGAGCTGTAACAAGAGGAAGCTTGCATGCATGTTGACATGAAGTGAGACATGTGCATGGTTGTGTAGTGGACACACCTGTATGAGAGACTGCATGGCCCTCCGTTCACAGGTGGCTCTGTGGTCTTAGAGGGATATGGAGGTATTGCATAGCCAATGCCAGAATGGATGCATCTGGTGTAAAAATATGAGTGTGTTTCAGTTTTTGAAGTAGGAGTCGGTCGAGGAAATGCCTTGAGCTGGGAGACCAAAAAAGAGCCTCGTTTGCTGATCCACCAGGTCAGCGTTCCCCAACGTGGTGCCTGTGGGCACCCACCAGCACCTTTCTTGGTACCCGCCAAGTGTTTTTAGAAAGTGGGTGGGGCCAGGTAGGGCTTTTGCCCTGCAAGGCGTCTGATTGGCCATTGGAGATTTGATGGGCTGGCCGATTTCTGAAAATGTTCTCTTGACAGCAGCGGCCACCGACAGCACAAAGATCTTCACTGTGTGACTGAAGGGAAGCCGTGGCTGCACCCAGCACACGAAGTCAGGATTCCATGGGTGCCCACAGGCCAAAGAAAGTTGGGGTCCGCTGCTCTAGGTATTTGCTGTTCAGTACCATTTGTCTGCATTGGTGTATAAGAACGGCCGTGAGTTGCTCATGCAGTATTTTGAGGGTGTTTTGCTGGTGTAGTGGTTGGAGAGCAGGGAGGTGGCTGAGTACAGATAAGCTTTAAGCCGTAAATCCCTGGCTCAGGAGACAGCCGTTCTTCTACGTTGCTACCTTTTTGCCTGTAAAAACCCGGCATCCCAGATAGCGTTGCTCCTAAATCTAACTGGGCGGCACCTAACCCGTCTCGTTCCCCCCGACACGAATGGAGCAGAGATCCTTGAGTCCGTGCATCTCTGTCGGCTGCATGCTCACCTCTTGCTTGCACCGTTGCCCTCCCCCTTGGTGGCATGTTCTTCTCCTCCCGAATGCTCCGGAACCCTCCTCCCCTGAAACTTCCGTTCTGCTTGCTCTGGTGGGGATATTGCACATTACTAAGTTGCATGTTGTCACGGCCGGAGTGCAATTTAGTGTGTGCGATATTTTCACGTGAGTGCATGCACACAGGTATGGCTGTGGTTTGAAGTGACTGCCGGCTGGATGGGGATGAAAGAGCCTACATCCCTACCAGCATTTTGGCTTGGGACTTGTTCGCCGGCATTCTGATTCTCGTGCCTGTTTTCTGTCTGAGAAAATGTTATTGCTTGCTTCATTTTCTTCATCCCCCAATGCGAATCACAAAACGAAAAAGCGAAGTGGGACAGATAATAATTGTAATATTAACTTCAAAAAGCAGTTTCTGAAACTGAGATTCATTATACTAACTCGAAGTTGGCCCACAGATGCTAGAGGGTTTGATGCAAGGTTAACTGAATTTTAATTACCAAAATCAATTAGGATTACTTTTTATAATTGGATCAGGCTGCTGTAGTCATGGAATAAACAGTGGAACATGATGGTGATGATGATGATGGAAATGATCCAGTGATACAGTCGACAGAGGAAACAACTTGGCTTCCAGCATATGAAGGTTTAAAACATGTAATATGCTCAGGAAACCATTGTGAATGCATGACTGCAGTGTTAACATCATTTAATTGGTCATCTTAAATGATGTTGAGAATTCACATGCAATTGGATGTTCTTTTCAGTGCCCAGAGTAGTAATTAATTTTAATGTTCTCTCAAGAGACATCGTGTGTATGTGTGTGTCCATATTCATAAGCAAGTTAAAGCTGGTTTTGAAGGAATGAGGAGTCCAAATGTATGTGCTTGAAACCTTTTTGTTCCTTGAATGGCTATTCTGACAATAGAACATGAGAATTTTTTTCGCCCAAATTGTGGCCCCTTGTTTTTGGTTTATCCTTGGATAAGCCCAGCCCTGACCTGGATAGCCCAGGCTGGTTCTATCCCGAAAGCTAAGGAGGGGCAGCCCTGGTCACCAAGGAAGCCCAGGGTTGCTACGCAGGGGCAGGCAATGGCAGACCACCTCTGAATGTCTCTTGCCTTGAAAGCCCTACTGGGTCACCATAAGGCAACAGGACTTTACAGACACACACACAAACTAAAATTTCACACGCTTTTGTGAAAATGGGCTTCCCCGACGAAATCAGTTTTTCAGATAGCATCACAAAAGATATTGACGCTTGAGTGACTTTAGCCTTGTTCTTACTGAGACAAACAAGCAGTCTTGGGACAGTATCACTTCTGATTGTGGAATTTTACTCCATTTAAAAAAAAATTATCTTCACACAGAAATCTAAGCTAGAACTTTCCCCCTCCCATTACAGGCTAGCTTTCTATGTGAACTGCAATTTTGTAGGGAGTCTTCAGCCACAAGTGTCCTCCTGTAGCCTGGACTCAGCGGGGCCATCCTGGAGGCGAGTGTGGTGAAGTCATGTTCTTAAAAGGCAAGGTTCTGTCTGGGAATGAAAGTCCATTTACCATGCAGCCTATTCAAGTGTTGAGTGCCATAAGCAGTAAAGGTTTCTCTTTGTTACATCAAGTCAAATAGAAGTTCACATATCAGCAAAGCTCATTTTTTTGAACTCCACATCTAAATGGTTTTATGAGCGTAGCTGGCAGCAATACAGCCTTCCTCACAAACATCCACCCAGCTCCCTTGAACATTTTGCTGAAATTGTAAAACATTTAGCTGCTACACTTAGCTGGTGTCCTAGTTTTTCCTTTTTCTCAAAAATGAGCCAAGGGAAGTTTTTAAATTGCTTTGTATCATAAGTTACTGAAATATTTTCAGATGCAACATGAATTCCAAACGATGCTGATAATGTGAAAAGTTGCAGAAGTACTGATTACAGAGGGCTTAGGTTTCACAAAACGCTGTAGGATTGTTTAGATACGTTAGTTGCCTAAAGATGTAAGAAGCGGCTCAGGTACGATCAGAACAAGAGGAGGCCTCAAATAAGTGAAGCAGACCTAAAATGAATATGAGAACGTATTGAAGAGGAAAGGGTAGAGTCCTTGAAATGGCAAACAGTTTAGAGTATCCAGATGTGACCGTGCAGGATGCATTGTAAAGCATGTTATGGTAGAGTTGCCAGCTCTGGGGTGGGAAATTCCTCAAGATTTGGGGGGGGGGGGGAGGCCTG